CTTTTTGTGCCCTCAGTCCATGTCTGCACTGAAGACATATCTGTGCTATATAACCAACTTCGCTCGCTCATAAATTAGCCCCAGTTCCCCAATCCGACTGTCAAGTGGTCTTTTTTTCTCTAGCTATTGAGATACAGAAAAAAGAACAACATACCATAATTCTTTTGAGAACGTACGTCTTTTCGCCTTGGCAGAGTTGTTCCCTGTCATGGTGTGCATCTTCGCCGGCACTGTGCTTGCTCGTTTGCCTCTTTTGGCCACTCATGCCCTCTGATTCACTGCTCCTTTCTCGACAAACTGCCAACCAAACTTCTCCGAAAGCGCCTCGTGCAAAGTTCTCTTTCAAGATGTATCTGCACCAGTCGAAGGAAAAAGGTGATATCATCATATCACTTTTTTTTTTTTTTTTTTTTTTTTTGCAAAAATGGGTTCCATTTATTATTAACTCAAAAAAAGGGGGGCCGGCCTCCCCACATGAAGACCTGGTCTGGAAGCATTACCCAGTGTGATGCTTTTGCAAAAACGGGTTCCATTTATTATTAACTCAAAAAAAGGGGGGCCGGCCTCCCCACATGAAGACCCGGTCTGGAAGCATTACCCAGTGTGATGCTTTTGATGGGACCCTCTGGGACCCGATGAAAAAACCTTTGACAAAAAAAAAGTTAAAAAAACATTATTTCCAAGCATTTTGATTTTATGCTGGAAAGTGGGCCCAGCGTCCCTTAAAATTTTTGGCTAGATGCCCCCAAAACACTCTAGACTTCCCATCTCCTGTCCTACCACCCTACACCCATTCCCCCCGCAGCACACAACCATAACCCCAGGCTTGCAAAGACCCTCCCCCAATTCTCCCCCCCCTCTATATATATATAATCCATGCCCTCCCCTTGGACATCGTACCACCCCATCTTCAGCCCCCTACCTCCCCCTGCCCTTCGCTCCGATCTGTGGATGATATGGCACTAATGGTCACAACTTACAAGGTGGTGTCATTTTCCGCGAAATTTTCAACGACTTTGCTTGTAGTGATGTGCCGTCTCCCCATCTACGGGTCGGGGGTCGTCGGCACCCCGAAAAAAAAAAAAAAAAAAAAAAAAAAAAAACCGGGTCCAGAACCCCTAATAACACCACCAACACCTCCATAGCGGCCCCCAACAATCCCCCCATACCCCCCCCTATACCCCCCTTATACTCCAACCCCAACCCCGCCATACGCCCCCCCCCCAAAAAATAAGTTTCTCAGCAGATTTGGGCTGTACTCAGCAAGCGCAGTACAGCCCCCAACTCAGATTTGAAAAGAATCAGTGGATGGTTGACGCAGAGATAAGAGGCAGATGGTGTTGCACAAGGGTGGGCAATTTCAAAAGAACTGGCAAGGGGGCATACTTCAGGGGGCTGCAAACAAATGGGGACAGTGGCATGATTCAGAACCAGCTAACCTGAATCTACCTGATACCGGAAGCCCAGCATCAGGAGGAAGAGATATCATTACCGGCATAACTGGTTGGTCTGCAGGTCATCATCTCAGATGGGAAACTGGGCGTATTATAAGTTCCACCAGCAGAGTGCTGACGCTTCAGTACCGATAGGGGGACCTACATATCTTGGCTAGATGACCTGTTGTGTAATCGGTCACAAACAAAATATGATCGGTGACGCTCTCTCTCTCTCTCTCTCTCTCTCTCTCTCTCTCTCTCTCTCTCTCTCTCTCCTGTCTCTTATACACATCTAGATGTGTATAAGAGACAGTTAATAACCCATGTAGTAAGCCTCGTGGCTTCATGC